ATACAGAAAATTTATTTAACTACATAAAGCCAATCTCAACTGTTCCAACCGCAGCATGCTTTGGCCTTTCCGCAGTGCTCTGGAATGTTCAGACACCAACAACCCAATCAAATACAGAAATTCAATTGCATCAGAGCAACGGAAATTTTATTAAATTCCGATTTAAATATGCAGCTTTGCACACTGCCGCCGATATGTACTTTTTCCATACAAACGCCAAGTGAAAAGGAAAAAATAATCCTCAAAGATCAGCAAATTGGACTGGAATTTAAACAAGAAGGAAAAGTAGAAAATATGCAAAATCCTTTAGCAGGCAATGAAACAATAGAAAACGCAAGTAATCGAAAAGGAATCAGCTCAGTAAGTAGCTTAACTTGGCTGAAATATGAAGCGTTGCTGAGTATGAAAAAGTCAGCAAAATAGAAAAAACTATTGGTAAGAAATTATGATTCAAAAGGAATACGAATACAAATGCAATAGGAATACGAATATGAATATAAATAGGAATATAAATATAAATATAGATATGAATATGAATATAAATATAAATATGAATATGAATATGAATATGAATACGAATATGAATATAAATGTGAATATGAACATGAATATAAATATGGATATCAATATATGTAAATGTGAATTTGAATACAAATGTGATATATGCGAATATGGATATGAATATGATATGAGTATCAATCAATATGAATATGAATATGAATACGAATAAAAAAATTAAAATGACTATAAATATGAATGTGAATATAAACATGAATATGAATTTGAACATGAATATACATATGAATATGAATATTAATATGAATACTGAATACAGATACGAATATGAATATGAATACGATTATGATAATGAATATAAACATAAATATTAGTATGAATACTAAATATAAATATGAATACTGAATATACAGGTAGGTTCTGCAACTCACTTCCGAGTGAATTTAAACCACTGCCAATTTGAATTCAAAGGGGATTTGATTGAAATTCACTCGGAAGTGAATTGCAGAGCATGCCTGATAGATACGAATATGAGTATAAATATAAATATAAACATGGGTATGAATATGAATATTAGTATGAATACTGAGTATGAATATAAGTATGAATATGAATATAAGTATGAATATGAGTATTAATATGAATATGAACACAAATGTGAAAATGATTATGAATATAAATATGAATATGAATATGAGTATGAGTATAAATATGAATATGAACATGAGTATGAGTACTGAATAAGAATATGAGTATGAATATGAATTTGCATATGCATATAAATCTGAATGTGAATACTAATATGAATATGAATAAGAATATGAATATGAAAATGAATACGAACACGAAGACGAATGCGAATGCGAATATGCATACGAATGCATTGCGAGTAAGATTATCATAATATAGCCAATGACATTGAATGACAGTGATAAGGACTCAAGTAGCACACTGGTGTATAACTTGGTGTAAATTTACGAATTTTGGTATACATTTGATTAATCGCACTAAAATTCACAAATTCACCCCAAGTTATACACCAGTGTGCTAGTTACTTGAGGAGATCCATAATACTCGTAGATTACGTTGAGTTGGGAGGCGAGCCCCCCGAAGAGATGTTGTTTATAGCTACCAGGTGCTCACTATTGAAATTTATTTGTTAGTGGTGATGGAATATTAGGCGTTTAAAACTGAATATAATGAAAATAAAGCGGATGAGAAGGAAATTCTTAGCTACGGCAACATCGGTCCAAACCTATATTGAGTCGTAGGGTATGGGTTCCTTATAAAAAAGTGCCCGATTAAGGCATCTAGCGGCAATGATATTTGGCTCTCAGTCGGTTCGAGGAACTCCTCGACTGCCGTACAGAAAGACTTTCCAGGTCACGGCTTCCGCCCAACACTCGCTGAGGCAACTACAAATAATATCACAGAAGCTAATTCATCTGCCATGCCGTTTCCAGAAAAGTTACTACGCCCTGTGATCTAAATAAAAAGGAATCGGAGGTACATAATCCGATCCAATCAAGATGCAGCTCAGACAGTTCCCGGGCAGTTTAGATCGTACCATGAAGGGTTCTAGGATGCGCTGCATAAATAATTCTGACTAGGACAGAACAAACTTTTTACAACTCCATCTGTCCAAGTTCAATCTATTAGTGAAAATGTTTACTGCACTTCAGCTGCACTCTCCTATTCACCACTTAGAGGTATATGTGTAGGGGAAGATTTCATCGGAGCCAGCCGGTGTATGCACCAAGCCACTTATTCAGGTATGAAATCCATATTTCTAAAGATTTCGCAGTGTTTATACTTCAGACTGAAGGAGAAAGCAGAGCTTCTCAGCCTTATGACTGCGGAGAATGCTTCAGCCTTGTTCGCATGGGTGCGGGTTGGTTGCTAGGCACAGCTTCTTCACCTATTCCCTCAGGTTTCTTCTTTGCAGTCGGGACTCTAGCGCAAGTGCTACCTTTTTTGACTCCGTTGTAAATATTTGTCTTCCATGAAACCATCCTGTCCAGGATCACATCCAAATGCATTAACTTGTCAAAGCGCACAACTGCAACTCAACCGATCAAGAAAAGTTGGGAATTTCGTGTTTTGCACTTCCCGGAGATACCCGGAAGCCTAAAAATTTTAATAAAACTTCTCCTTATCAATCTTAAAGGTAGGTTACAGAACGGCTGTAACGCAACCAGACTTAACTCTGCTCATATCTGGAGATACCCTACGTTCAGCCACTCAAAACTTTTCTACTGATCAAAATAAAGTTGTACTCTTAATGGGAGCTACTCGAATTGCGAGCTCTCTTAGCTCTTAATAATTATTTCGTTCCGTCGGAAACTTTAAAAGCTTTTTCTCCAGATTCTGAAGTTTTAATTCTGTTGTTTAATCTCGGATTCAGATCTTGGAAAATATCTTTTAGAATTTGTCCTTCATCATTATTTTCATGACTTCTGACAAACCAAAAAGCAGTAATAAACCCTCAATCGCTGTCATCTCCAAGGAGACATTCAACCTCTTTGATTACTAACCGCACACTAACAGCAACGTAGTTGCGTAATTAACAAAATTGCTCGCAGTCAAATATGCGCTAAACGTTGTCCACACGAGGACACGCTACCAAGTTTCCGGCAATTATGTATGTATGGCACACTTTCAAATACACAGGTCCGTCCAAGCACATGCATGCATACATGCGAAGGCACTTCACAACGCACAATGCATGTATGTAATACTCTTTGTCGCACGTCCACCTTCGTCGAGGGTCAGTTGAAAAGGACATACTGCCAATTTAGCAGAAAAAGGATTGACAACAACAGCGAAATAGTGAAATTGCACAGCTGCTTTGGGAGCAGTGTTACAGCGAAAGCCGAAGCGAGCAAAAAAACTGCGCCGCTCAGGTGACCAAAAACGAGACGCCATGCATGCATCTGGTGGTGTTCAAATGTATGTGACATGGTCATCCTTTGTGGTTTCAGGTATACCTGTTATGGTCGTCACTAGACTTTCACTTTCATCCTTTTCATTTTGTGCAGCGCCATATGTATGTTTATATGCATTAAACGAAGCAGGAGAGAAGCGGATAGGAGAATATAGCGAGTTAAAGTACGGTCGATAAGCCGCTTAAAAATCCATTAAATGCTAAAAGCCATTTGAATGGCCAATGCCTCGTTAGTCGCACGCAACTACCTCTTTCAACTGGCAATTTTTTAAAGCGCAATCAACATTTTCCAAGTACACACACACACACACACAAACTTACTCTTCCATCCACGCGCTTTCGCTCTCGCTCTTGTCACACCCGACAACGATTGATTTACTTTTATCGATTAATTTCTACTGAATTCACACACTCGCTCACTCACTCTACTCTCAAGCCTATTAATAATTCTCACACAAAAGTTTTTGTTTCTCTTCCTTCATCTAGCCGACAAAACGGATGAGAAATTCCACAGACGCGCCTCGGTTAAAATGGGCGTACGCGTCATCTATCGCACCGATGTATATAATCATGGCAATGGTCCGGAGAATTTTGCTGCACTCATCAATAGTCAGGGCGCCTCACCGCCTCTAACCGCTGCTCTAACCTCACCACCAGCCGCACTCACTAATACTGGCTTATCCTCGGTGCACACACAAAATGGCAACACTACACCTGCCTTGTCGTCGGCACTGGGTGGCAGTTGTAGCGCCGATAGTAATGCCAGTTTTGATGGCAGCGGTAGTGGTGGTGGTGGTGGTGGTGCCGGTGGCGGTGTTGCGGTTCTTGCATCCACCAACACTGGCAGCGATCGCGTAACACCAACACAGCCAACTACACAGAGTCATGCCAAGCCGAAGAAGTCGGAGCGCGGTGATTCGTTTCCTAAGTTGCGTCTCTCACCGAAATCGTTTCGCTTCAGCGGTCGCTTTGGACGCAGTAAAAGCGAAATTGAGAAATGTCCCAATGATCCGTTCTACAACTATAGTAAATCGTTTCAGGAGGTGAGTAGAAAAAAGGAGCAAAAAAATGAAGTAGTCATATGATAAAGGTGTTGGGAAAAGAGAGCAGATATTAGCTAAGTCATTGGGTTCCATAAATTCTTACTATCCACCAACCAACAACCAAAAAGAACTTACTATCTCTTTAGTTGACAGAATCTGAGCGCGAAAAAATACGCCTTCCTCTCTTTAGGTATCTTTTTATATAGTTTGTAGCTTACTTTACTGTGATTTCATACAGCCTGCTCGGGGATTGAACCACTGCCTTTTCTGATCTGATTCGTAGACTCTTTACCACAAGTGGTAGACAACTTTTGTTTTGATAAGTTGGTAGATTGGAAAGACTTTTCGGATGTTTCGACCACTTTCAGATATGCAATTACTTTTACAATGCTATCTAATCTAAAACTATATTCCGATACTCTGAAAGTCTTTGGCCTCAAGGTTTCCGGATATGGGTATAATATTCTTAGTTTCTCCGTGAGTGAGGCTAAAGTTATTTATGTGCGTAAAGTGATGATAGTGATGATGATAGAGTTATTAGAAATATCATCCCCAATAGTTTTGATGGAGCCTTGCCTACCACTTATGTGCGTAAAGTGATGGGAGCTAAGAAGAAATGATACAGTTATTAGGAATATCATCCCCAATAGTTTTGATGGAGCCTTGCCTACCTTCGGACACCGTGCTGCTGCCATCAACGTCATTTTATGCATTATGTCCATGTCGTTGTAAAGCTCATACAGTTCATCGTTTCGTCGTTTGCGGTACTCGCCGTGGCCAACGCGTAAAGGTCCGTAAATCTTCCGCAAACCCTTTTTCTCGAATACTCCAAGAGCCGGAGTTAATGCTGGTTCCCATGTAAACGAAATTCTCTACTTTCTCGAAATTATAACTGTCAACAGTGACGTGGGTGCCTAGCCGCGACTGTTCTGACTGTTTGTTTGATGACAGGAGATACTTCGTCTTGTCCTCGTTTACCACCAGATCTATAAATAGGTGGTGAGTGTCGACCCTTTTCTCGCTGGTCTTTTCCAAGTTTGAGCGTATTGTGAACAGCTTGTCAATGGGGACTTCCATATTCCGTTCCTGGATAGGTATTCAGCAGGCCGCCATTTTCGTACTGAGACCCAATATAGGTGAATAGATTTGTCATGGCTAACCTCCCTAACTATTACCCCTTTAATTCTGTAACAGTCTTCGAGTAGCTAGTATATTAGAGTAAAGCCTTAATGGCTGCCTGAGTGTTAATATGAAAATATAACCGCTCGGCCGGTAGGACCTCTGCCGCTTTTAATTCTGCTTGAAAATTACTGTAGTAAATGGCCTGCAACTCTTCCGCTCTCTCCTTCGTCTGCTTTGGAAACTTAGATGTAAATATGCGTCGCATAATTTTCCATATTCACACTCTTGCGACAACAATCTATTTCCATTGTAGCTCCCAAAGACCTTTCGAAACTCAGCTGGGCGATCACATAGTGTATTCATACTATTAACCTAGTTAGTTTAGGGTCTTGGTCTAGCCCAGAAAGGATTTTTCTCTACTTCATTACATTTCGTACTATTTGGGAGCAAACCGATCATCTTACTAGTAATTTTTTGTAGGACTGCAAACACCCATACCTCTTCTACCTATAACACATTTTAACGAGTGCTTTTTCGTGGAACATTCTCACGCTCTAAATAATGTGCCATTTAAGCTCAGTACAATAGCAGTTAGAGGGTTAAAATATATTGTGACTGAAGACGAAAAACTCATCCCGCCAATTTTCGAGTAGTGTCATTGAAGCATAGGTCTTTAACTCCTTTCATTATGAGTCTTTTTAACGCTCTTTCGAATCAGTTTATTAAAAATAGCTGTTGTAGGGTTAAACGTTCAGCACAGACTTTACCAAGGGTCACCCCAGAAGCAGTGTGGGGTACTGTCTACTAAATATTGCTAAGGCGAATTGTTTTCTGCATTGCTTACTCTACGAAACGGGTTCTGCAGAACCGTCTCACTAGCAAAGTCAGAGGATGAGATAATGCAATTAAACCAATCTGTTCAGATTGGCAGCCATCTCAGCATGTAAGACTCCTTCCGCTTAATTTTCTATAATTTTATTGGCCCGTTGACCTTGCCGCTTGCTTATAAATCGCACCAAATAAAAATTTCGAGTAAGTGCAATAAACCAATAAACTGTCTAGAACATAATTTCGCGTGTTTTTCTGTAAAAAAAAGTGATGCTTTTCGCTCATAAAATACTCGTAAAGTAAAACACTCAAAATAATTGCAACTGCTAAAGCAATAAATTTTAAATTGGCTATAAAAATATTAATAAGTTTTGCGGCATTAAGTGAAATATCTTTAGACTGCTTAGGAGAGGTGGGAGAAAAGAACGCGGGACACGTGAGTGCAGTCAAGAAGTAGCAGCTTTTTGGGCCTTACCTTACCTTAAAGAATTTTCGCAGATTCAGTGGCGTCAAGTTAAAGTAAGTACTTAGTTCTAGTGACAATAGTCATATAGTATTTGCTTCAGCACACCACAAATATATGTTTAGATTTAAACAAAGAGAAAGAAAAATGTTGTAGAATTTATCAAACAAAATGCCAGCAAAAAAGGCCCACAGGCAAGAGTAGAGAGCGCCAGCAAAAATGTAAATCAACATGGAATTGAGTCAATATTTGCTGAAGGTAGAATGACAGTCAATAAAAAGCAAACC